ATCTGTAAAATAAAAAGAGTTGAAGCAGCTGGTCTCTAAACTCCATTCAGTCTCCAAAACTATGATTCTGGACACATTTAACCTATATCCATTCCCTTGTAATTTAGGCTAAGACTGCACAAGCTATTTTTTTGGCAGATACATCACATTGTTGACCTAATTTTAAGAGAAAAGAAAAGGTAAACCACTCCTTTCAAAGATCATAAATGTATAGATTCATGCAAGCCTAGTAATGAATGACAAGTAATTGCAGAAAGAGTGTGCAGGAAGAAGGCAGGGACATAAGGGAATGATCATAGGTAACATGTATCTTTCATAGGCCAGACACTGTGCCAGATGCCTTATGAATATTATTTATGTTTTCAAGTCGATTTTTAGAAGAAAGATGTGAAGCTCAGAAAGGGTAAGTAACTTGCCCAAGGACCCACAACTAGAAATGGGCAGAAGCAGTGTTAAAACGCAGGTCTATTTACACTCCAAAGTCCATATCCCTTCCACTTTCTCATGCTGTTTCCAAAAAAAAAAAGACTCATGGAAAACGACCCAGTGCGGGAGGCAAATAAACAGAGAGAAAAGTGAAAAGGGAACAATCAATCAAAATCCAGGATTATCTCCGTGCTTGAGAGGAGACCCTTCCTGGGCTAATTTCCATCCTGCGTGCCTTCTGTATAGCTATGACAACCGGATTTTTTCACCATAACCTGCAAAAAAAAAAAGTTGCATTGAGTTTTAAAAATCTTGTACCTATATTACTAGAAAAGAAGTCTGAAAATTATTGCATTGGATATTATTGATTGGATATTTTCTCCTTTCATTTTAACAGAGAACGAAACTAAACAGAAAAAGTTAACCTTTGGAATGAGTTGAAAAATAAATGAGATTTGGAGGATAAAATATTTAAATAAAGCAAGTGTACAAGTCATTAAGACAAAGAATCAAAGATATTTTCAAGTAATTTCAAGTTGAAACTGTGAGGGAGCCGTAGAGACCAACTAATAAAAAAATTGTATTTCCCAACACAAAAAGTTGCTGATTAAAGGAAATGTATAGTTTGTGGAAGTGGGAGCAAAGCAAGTCCCAAATTTTCATTTGGAAAGGACACCAGACCACTTGCTGATAAACAGTCATTTGGCAAAAATCAAGAAAAGTTAGTGGACAGGCTGGCTAGTGAGTCTGGAGGGAGTAACTGTCTCACATGGAACCAAAGAAGGAAATGGAAAATGGGAGGTGGTCAATGCTCTGGAAATGGCAGGTTTGTCTATCAGCCAAAAGAAAAATGCTTTAGAAATAAGGTAGACCTAAAAAGTCTCTCCAAGGGAACCAGTTTTCAAATCAAACTCATCAAGTAAGAAAGGAAAGCCTCAAATGGGGGGAAGAGAAAGAGCAAACAGCATGCACAGAACCAGAGCCAGAAAAGACCACTGCACATGATCAGACAGATTTTTCATTACTTGGGGTAGCCTAGTCAAAAGGTGAGCTTACCTGAAGCCTAAACTGTGCAGCTGCTCATCAAGCTGGCCGCCTGTGAGACTACAGCCTCCTGGAGCCTTTCCATCCTGACTGGAAAGGAAGAAGTAACACTATTCCCAGACTGCATGACCATATAAGTAGAAAAGCCTAAGGAATCCACCCTAAAAGTGAGCAAAACTGGTAGCAAAGTCAGAGGATACAAAGTCAGTTGTATTTCTATACACTAGCAACAAAAATTTGGAAGGAATTTTTTAAGTCCATACAGAATAGCATCCAAAAATATAAAATACTCAGGGAAATTTTAAATAACCATTGTCCAGGATTCCCTATGGTTAAAAATGAAAGTGAATATTTCCTTTAGTCTAATAAATACTCAGTTTAGATGTTACTGTAACTACTGTGTTAGTCATGAGGTAGGGAATAGGAGGACAGAAGAAGAAGGGGACTGACATTTGTTTGAACTCTCATTTTGGGGTTGTCGAGAAAATTAGAATAGATCAAGGAAGAAGAATAAAGTTCAGCTAAATGATTCTGGAACAGCCTTCTATGTCCATAGCCTTAGTTTTGTAAGACTGAAGAGCCTTGGTATCCAGAAGATGCCAAAAAGACTCTGGGAGTAGAGAAGGTAAGCCTATAGTCTGATTAGTCTGATTAAAAGATAATTTTCTAGTTACAAAAGTATACCTTAGATCAGATTTCTCTTTCCTCTGAGACCACTGACCCACAATAAATAAGCAAAGCAAAAATAAGCTGTAACTGCTACCTCTCATTCTCTCTATGCCCAGTAAGGAGAAGAGGGGAGCTTCTTCTCTTCTCCCAAAAGGGGTGAAAAAGATTATAGTTTCTCACTGTTTCAGTGAGGGCTCAGCATCCAAAAGGGTAGGTATTGTTATAGCCACCTACAGGCCTCTAAGAAACCAATCTCCTCATCTTATCTGGGGACATCCAGAAGAAATGTGAGCAGATCCCAACTGGCCTAACACGAGCAGCCCAGGTGCAGTCCTACTACCTCAGGCTGCCCAGAGAAGAAAGCCACGGGATTACCCTGCTGTAGAGGGCTAGGCAGGATATTATAACTTACTGAGAGGGGCCAGATGTGAAGGCGCCAGCCTGCCCCAGACCAAGTCTTGCATTGAGCCTTTAAAGATACATCCTTCCAAGCCAAACACCATCTTATGTTTCAAGTATAGCATTTGCCCTCAAATTCGAATTCTTGCATTATAATAAAATTGCATTTTCATGCTTCCGCTAATTCAGGAGACAACACAGAGATTAACAGGGGAAAATCTCATTAAAACTGGCAGATGCATGGACATCTCAGTTTGGAAAGGGACATGTGACCCAGTTGTGGCTAATGGGACCTGGGTACAGGGAGATGTCTGCAGGTGAACTGCTAGGTAGAGTTTTCCTCCGTGATTAAAAGAGAAGCTTGAGGATTTGGGGTAGGGAAGGTTTTGGGGTGTTCAAGGCAGTTGTCTACTATGTGATGACTGGAACTATGGCAGCTATCTTGAAACCACCAGAAGACAAGTTGAGTACAACATAGCATAAAAAGCATCTGTACCCAAGATTGCAAAGCCACTGCCCAACCCTGGAATACTCTGCCTCCAGACATTGTATTATAGAATATAATAAATAATAAATTTAAGCCACCTTTTAGTAAGCATTCTGTAATTACAGCCAAACATTGTTACTGATGTACAGGTCAATAAGATAAAAAACAACTCAACAGAGAATTGGATGAAGGATACAAACAGAAAACTCACATAAGAGAAAATACAGGTAGCCAAAAAAAATCTTGATAGATGTTCAACTTTACTACTAATAAAAGAACACACAAACAAGACTTTTTGCCCACTAGATTTATAAAATGTGGTAATACTACAGCTGATCGGGTGAGAAAACAGGACTGCTCCAGTTTGAGGCAGATTGCAAACTGGTACACTGATACACAATTTGGCAATATTTATTAAAATTTAAAATGTCATACCCTTTAACCCAGCAATTCTACAGAAATACTCACACATGAGCACCATGATGTTTGCACAAGGATGTTCAGTACAGCACTGTTTGTTAAGCCAAAAAAAGAAAAAAATCTAGAATAGTCCAAAGTTCATCAGTAAGGAATTGAGTAAATAAATTATAGTCCACTCTACTGTGGAATAACCATAGTCATACAAATAATGGGGTAAATCCATGTACTGACATTTTAATCTATCCCAAGATGTACTGTTAAGGAAAATATGCAAGGTTCAGAAGAGTAGGTCTGCATCCCATTCTCTATTTTTTTTTAAGTACAATGCTTTTATATGCACTGAAATAAATCTGGGACAACATATAATGAAGAATTACCACTAGGAAGTAGACATGAGGGTCTTCAATTTTAAATTCTATTCTGTGTTTTTGTGTTTAGGAGTGTGTGCATGGCTAGGTATGTTTATTGTTTTTGCAATTAGAAAAAAAATTAATTTTTATTTCATCCATCTACAGGAAGGGCTGGTCTTCCCTTAGCATTCACAATTACCTTCTGCACCAGAGTGGTAGCCAAATGTTTAAACTCTCTTCCCAGATAACATGGAGCCCAAAATGCTGGATCCAGCATGGGAACCTTTCTCCTGTGTAGGACTTGAAGGTAGAGGTGAGATTGGCTCTGTGGCCATGAAGGGGAGTGCCAAGAGAGGGCATTCAGGGACAAAGCTAAAAAGATAAGTAAAGTGCTCACCCCAAGGGATTAGGCAGAGAGGCACAATCCACTGGGTGGGATCTCCTCCTAAAGCCTGCTGGCACTGAATGGAGGGTGGATAGGGGCTCTGACGTGATCAGAGGTAAAGCACGGCTCCCAGAGCATCTGCCACCCCAGAGGCCGGAAGGGAGGAAGCTATGAAGACAGGGAGCCCTCAGTGAGCAACCAGGGTATACAGAAGCCATAAACCATCCGGCTTGTTTCAATTCCCTACTTAAAATGGTTTCCAATTTTAAAAAAGAAAGACAAGACATTTACCTTCTTAGAATATACAGTTTTTCAGGTGTAACTTAATTTCTTTCCAGTCATAGGCCTATGAAAATTTGCATACTGCCTTGATGCAAATAATTTTTTTTTAGAGTGTCTCATTATACTCCACTGGTTTGGAGAGATTTTATAGAATCAAGCCCCATCCCTCTTCCTTTGACATCTGATTTTGGTAAATGATTGTCATATTGGAGAGTTGCTACAAGATGGTACCCCAAAATCCTGAAGCATTGATCTGGGAGGAAGACGTTCCCTTCACCGTATCTATCCCCCGAAAGCTGTTTGTCCGAAGCCTCTGGGGCAGTCAGCCATTTCCCAGAGCAGCAGAGCTGGGTGACAAGTCCTTTTTAGGCAAGGCATTAAAAAGAGTTGGCTGAGCAGATCTAAAAAACCTTGGTCTAAAGGGCGGAGCCAGCCTTGGGGCAGAAGTATTACTTCACAGTTGCATCGGCTTCCTGTGGCTGCCAATAGAGGCAGCAGCTGGCAACCAGCCCACCGCAAAGAAGAGGGAACTCCACGGGGAAGAAAATAGCAACAAGGCCCCAAAGGTGGAAGTGCAGCCTGAGAACCGAGCCAGCCTGGGACTGCTCTGCCAGCACAGCTTGCCACCCCGCAGAGCACAGCAGGCGATGCTCTCAGGCTTCATGGTACTGCTATCCCTCCTACGGTGAGCACATTCCCTAAGCGCTTTTCATGTATTACTTAATGCATACCATTATTCCATATCATAAAGATATGAGGCCCGGGCTGTTATTTTCTCCATTTTTCAGATGGGAAAAACAAAGCTCAGAGAGGTAAAACAACTTGCCCAAGGACACACAACCAGGAAACAAAGGGGCCAGGATTCAAACCCCAAGCGTGGCCAGCTCCAAAGCCAAGACTATGACAGCAGCGACTTGAGTTCTCAAGTGAAAAATGAAAATGGTAAGTTAAAGGTTAGTGCTGCCTCCAACTGACACTGCGGATTGGAGCAATCTGGTCTCCTTCCTTGTAGGTAATATTTTGAGTCTTCTTCCTTGCACACAACCAGGCAAATGACTACAATTCTAAAAAGAGATAAATATAAAAACAAGAAGTGAAACGCTGCAGACACCTGAAACCCAACCATTTCTGCAAGTTCGAGCTAGTGGAGCTGCCACACAACAGAAATAGTTCTGTCCTGTTTAGATAGGCTTTGTTTTGTTACATGGCTGCATATGCAGTGAAGTGATATCAAGTCCTGAGGGTCCACTCCTTTGATGAGTTAAACACACAAAGGCTTACATTTTGATGTAATCTGATAGCATGTAGTTAAGTCCTAGACAAACTGCAACTGTGAGGAAGTGATAAACCCAACTTCCTGCACAAAGCTGCCTGAGATAACACTTTCCATGGACTGGAAGAAAAAAAAAAAAAGGACATGATTGCTACAGAATTTAAAAGGAACTATTCGGTTCCTAATAAATAACCTCTTTTTCATGTGGTACCAGCAACTACTAAGCAAAACTGATTGCAGTAAGGTGACTGTGCAGTAATTCTCCATGCGACTTAATTCTGACGTTTATTCATAGACAAAATCAATCACTTGAGATTGACTTGAATTCCTATTAAGGATATTTGAGTTAAAACTCGAAATCTCAGGTATTTCTTGGCCAGGAAAACCTCCCTGAAATTTACCAAGAACTCAGACTAAAAGAACTGAGGTTGAGTGAACTGGCTTAATGACATTCCCACCAAAGTCATTCAGTCTGAATAAGCACACACTGGAACTGTGGCCAACCTGACAAAGGACCAATAGCTATTTCCACATTGCCAAAACAGGGTCAAAGTGGTAATTTCACTAAGTGTTCTCATAAGTTGTGTCGTTATAAACAACCAATGAGAGCTGACTGCTGGTAATTTTCTGGGAATGCATTCATTCATTCACTAATCTAGCAAATATTTATTAAGTGCCTACTGTGTGCTAGGAAATACAAGAATGAACAAAAAAAGAGATAGTCCCTCCCCCCAAGGCCTTTCCAGTCTAGTTAGGGAGGCAGATATTGAAATAAACATACAAATATATGTAAATCACAAATTACACTGAGTGCTCTGAAGAGAAGCGGGCACATTGGCCTGATTTCAGCTTTAGATTGGGTGGTCAGCAAAGACCCCACTGATGATGTGATATTTAGGCCTGAGCCATCCAAGCAGACCAAGGGTGAAGGAAGAGAGGTCAGCATGGAAAACAGGCCATATCAAGATCCCAAACTGGAAAGTGCTTGGTGCCTTTGAGGAACTGAAAGAAGGCTTGTGTGCCCAGAGTAAATTAAATGAGGACAAAGAAGGTGTGACATAAGCCTGGATGGTGCAGAGGAGCCTATCAAGCGGAGTCATGAAGTCCACATGCAGGAGTCTGGGTTTGTTCGGAGCACTTCGGGGAACATTCCACTAACAGTGCTGACCTTTAATACTATTCTGCTCCTAGATTGTTTTCTGGGCAAGGATCTCAGAGAGAATGCAGCAGCCATGACACTCCTTAGGAAAAATTGTGAGATAGAGTTCCTACAATAGTGATTTGGGGCCCCTAAAGTATTCCCCTAAATTCAGCCAGTTCAGCTAAGCCATAAAATGGAATGGGAAAAAATCAGAATGATAAGAATTATAGCAATTGAATCACATGTCATATTATTATTTTAATGTGACTATAGAGTCATGTGGTTCACATACAGATAGACTAGTCATATGGACTAATTCTCTTGTTTTACAGTATTAGAAACTAAGGCCCAAAAACAGGCCTTGAAGATCACTTTGCTACAATTATTGGGATAGGAAAGTAAATGTCTGGTGTTGAGAATCTCACTGGCCTGTCACTAAAGATGGTGGATCTGGAAACCTGAGCTTCCAAAATATAAAACCAGTTTCCAGTTTACCTTCTTTAAGTTCTCTCAATATTTTGGTTTTATTCCACAATCAAATGACTTAAAGAACTTTCGAGCACAGGTTAATAAAAGCCCTGTTTCTTTCTCTTGTGCATATTTACAAGTCCTTCTCTGAGAACCTACTCTGTATAATTCTCCCTGGATACCTGGCCCTCAACTCTTGGGATTTTGAAGTACTGGACATGATTAGATATTTTTTTTTCATTCTGAGGCTCCTGGCAGGGGATCCTGGCCTCCTTCAAAGTGAAGCTGGAGAACTTGTTAGTTTGAGATAGAATTAAGTTATTTGAAAAGAATGACACCTCCAGAACAGCTCATACTTGGGGTTGACTGGACCCCTCCTAGGTAGTAGCTTTCTGACCTCAGAAGAATTTCATGTCATTGGCCTCAGATAGAATTCTCTATACTCTGGACTTCTGCTTCCCTTCAGATGATGTCTAAGGTCCTTGCATGTCCAACATTCCACATGTTCATGATAAATCAAAGAGTTTGGAATCTCTACTGAAAATGCCCTTAATACCTCACTTTCTATAATAAGAGCGAGGGAGGGTGGGAAGGAAGGAAGTTAGGAAGGGAAGGAAGGAAGGAAGGAAGGAAAGAAGGAAGGAAGGAAGGAAGGAGGGAGGGAGGGGAAAAGAAGGAAAGGAAGAAAGGAGAGGAAAGAAAGGGGAGGAGGGAAAAAAGGAAGAGAAGAGAAGAGAGATGGGGGGATGGAAAAGGGGAAGAAGTTATTACTGAAAAGAGGAAAAAAGCTTGCTTTCCAAACCTCTCTGCAACCTTATGAGAAATATACTGGGCTTGAATTGTGGATAAGTGATTGCTTACTTAGCCATCAAAACACAGCCCAGTGGAGTACACCTAGGCGTCCTTTGCAGACTTTGACTCTCAAAGTGGAGAATGGCTCATGCGTCAGCAACTTCTGTTTAAGAAAGCAAATGAAGTTTCAAGAAAAAATTGTCATTTAAGAGAGATTCTTTTTTCTTTTCAATTTGAAATACTTTATATTGCAAGGGTTTTGTGAATTGGTGACATGTATGAAAAGCACTTAGACCAGAGCCTAGCACTTAGCAAATGCTCAGTAAATGTTATATAATGCTGTAATTCATATTAAAGAAAATTATTGGCCCAGGCATCAGAAAGCCTGAAATCTAGGCCTCCGAATAGCCAGGTGATTAAAAGCAAGTGTCTCCATCTCTGAGTCTGTTTTCTAAATTGGTAAGAGGAATGGACCATATTGAATTAGATGGTATATCCAGCTTTTCCAGCTGGTATACTCCAAGTCCATTTCTAATGTGTTAGTGCCTCCATGTGTGAATTGAACATTAATATTTTAATGAAAAGGATTTCTTTCTCACATCATATTATGAAGCAATTAAATAACTTGGCAAAACATTTCTCTTTCCTTCCCTAAACTGGTAGATTTGGGAGCATTAAAATTACTTAAAATTAAAGAGACTAACATTTGCCTGAAGGACAGATGGTGGGAGAAAATTCTGAGCAAGTGATTAGAACGTAAATCTTCCTAAGAGATGTTAAGTTAGGGAGCGTAGGCCTAATACCGTATTGTCCCATCTGGAGGACTGTCAGAGTCTGCCCTCGTTCTGTTGGCTCTTATCCCAATCACAACATTTGCTGAAGACTCAGTACTTCCTAAAGCTGGATTTAAAACACCTCTGGAAGACTATCATTTCCCTGAGGGCTTCTCTTCAAGTAAAATTGTTTTTGCCTTCCCAAACTGAGTCAACACATCTGTTCTTACCTATCTTAAAAGCTTCATCAATTCAACAATTGTCCAAAAGGAAGAGGGAAAAAAAAAGCTATTGTGTAATGAAAATTTTTGGCAAATCTTATGAAAACACATTCTTAAAACATCTCTCATTTCTGAGAAACAAAGTAAAATGTATGAATTGTTTTTTGTTTTATGACTAACAAAATGATTCATTGCTACAATGTGGTATTTCGACCATATCTACATAAAACAAGTATGAACATTCAATTGAAAAAATAAAAATAACTCAATTAGAAAAATAAACTTTGAGTACCTCCTCTCACAAAGGCATTGAACTTGGCCTCAAAAAACTGGGCAATTTGTCATGGATGATTTTAAGCTATTTGGGTGTTAGTTGCACCTTCTGTGCACTAGGAAGCTTCATTACAACTACTTATCTGTGCTATCCAATACAGTAGCCACTAGCCATATGTGGCTATGAGCACTTGAAATGTGGCTAGTCAGAGATGTGCTATAATAGTAAAAATACACACTGGATTTAGGAAACTTAGAACAAAAAGAGAATGTAAAATATCTCTTTAATTTTATGTTGATTGCATATTGAAATGATACTATTGTGAATATATTGGGTTAAAATGTATTGTTGAATTAAATACAGTTGTTTCTTTTCACTTTTTTATTATGGCTATTAGAAAATCTAAAATTACATATATAATTTACATTTGTGAGTCACATTATATTTCTTTGGAACACTAGCGGCTTAGACTCGGCATATTGTTTATTCTAAGGCTTAAAGTCCACCTAAGAGATCTTAGCCACAAATATTTTATTATTTTAAAAAAGATTCTGTCTAGTGTGGTTTGTGATCTTATAGGTTTTTATCTAGAAAGTAAACTCCTAAAAATATACTAGGAGTGATGAATATACGTTAAATGAAAAGATGTTTGTGTTAAATTCAGTGGAAGGAAAAAAGTTTAAAAAATAGTATATAGTGAAAAAATGCTAACCCATATTCATAATTAAAGAAATACAATTGAGACAAAATAAAGCAAATAACTAGAAGTTTCATAATACCCACTATTTGTGCTAAAGAGGGGAAACAGCCATTTTCATATGCTATTTGTAGGAGTATAAACTGGTTCAAGTTCTTTGGAGTACAACTTAGAAAAAGCTGTCAAAATTTCTAATGCATAAACCCTTCAGTCCAGGATTTCCATTTCCAGGAATTCACCCTCCAGTTATACTGGCACATTTATGCAAAGATGTATCACAAAGATTTTGTAATAGCAAAGACTGCAAATAATCTGAAGGTTCATAAACAGGGAACAGGCTAAAGTTTTCATTCATTCATGTATTGGAATATAATACTGCCAAGAAAAATGATGACAGTCTCAATATTATTAGTAATGGTGTTAAGAATTATAATATTAAGAAGCAATAAATGAAAAATAGTTATGTTCTCAGAATATCTGAGATTATTGTCTGCCATCAGACAGAATGAAAGTCTAAAATAATCATTAAGTTGAATGATGGGAAAATATTATCTTTTTCTTGATCACTTGAATTTTGGGGACAAAACATTTATACCTGCTACATTTGCATTTACAGGGGTCTTTCTGGAATCAGCAAGGATTGCAGAGTAGTAAGGTTAGAAGGCACCTTATGTAAGAGCCTGGCACATGGTAAGCACTCAATAAATGCTTTTATTATCACCATTATTCATAATAATTCAAGATAAAAGAGATGCAAACTAAACCAAGGAGTAGTATGCAGTTTACCTCTACCAGGTTATAAGCTCCTTAAGGAAGAGAATTATATTATTCATCTTTATATCAACTTGGACCTTAACTACCTTCTCTTTTCACTCTGTCCTCTCCCTGTAAATGATCTCATGATCTGTAACTTCATCTACCATTTACACACTGACGCCTCCAGCCCTGACCTCCCTCAGCACCAGACCTCTACTCACACCTGCCTATGTGACAAATCCACATAAGTGTCTCAAGACTCCTCACACTCAGTGTGTTCAATGGAAACTCATTATAATGTCCCCCACCCACTCATCTCTCAGTAAATGCCACCCATCCAAATCTGCAAGCCAGAATCTGGGAGTCCTCCTCGACCTCTCCCACCTGTCAATCTCTGTGTCTAATATATCCCTAGGTCTTACTTATTTTACCTTCTAAATAGTATTCAAATCCAACAACTTTCTTCCATCTCCACTGCCACCCCCTGAATCCTAGCTATCGCCATCTCTCCCTTGCCCACAATCTTACACATGCCATGTGCTACCATAACCAGGATCCCCCACGTCACCTTCACTCTTATATCTCCAATCTATTATTGGGCTTTGTAAAGTCAAGTCTGGCCAGGTCATCCTAAAGGCTTAGGATCTTCAATAACATCCCATTGTTTTTAAGACAGAGATCCAAATGCTTAATATCAACTGAACACAGGGTCCTTCATCATCTGGCACGTTCACCTCTCTAGCCTAATTTTGGCCTATTTTCTTCTTTAGTCTCAGTATTTCAGTCACAGGGGATTACTTTCAGTTCCTCAAAAGTGCCTCGCTCTCTATAGCCTCGGGGACTCTACACATGCTGTTTCTTCTTACTCCATCTACCACCTTTGCCAATAAACTCCTTTCAACTCTCAGCTTAGACCTCAGGTCCTCAGAGAAATCTCCTCAGACCAAATCTGGTCCCTCATTTATATGTTCTAATTGTTCGTTCTATTTCCTTTCATTGTATGTAGGTTGTTTTATAACTACAGTGAAGTGTGGGTGAAGATGAGGGTGAGGGTGATGGGGTGGGCATATAGGTAGGATTAAGGTTAGGTATAGGGTTATGTTTAGGATGAAACTATGGTTAGGATTAGGATTTAGGCTAAGGGTTAGTCTTAGAGTTAAGGTTAGGCTAATGGTTCTATGGGAGTGTGGGTTAAGGTGAGGGTTAGGGGTGAGGCACAGGGTTAGGGTTAGGGTTGGGGTTAGGATTGAAGTTGGTATGAAGTGAAGGGTGACAGTATGCTTTTGGTTAGAGTTAGGTTTAGGGTTCAGTGTGAGGGTTAGGGTGGGGTTTAGGGTTCAGGTTACAGTTAGGTATGGATGCAGGTGAGGGTAAGGGTGAGGGGTTAGGGTGAGTCACCACAGTTAGGTTTAGGGTTGGGGTTAAGTGTAAAGTACAAATAGGATTCCAGTTAGAATTAGGATTCTGGTTTAATGTTAGGATTAGGGTGAGATTTAGGTTTAGGATTACAGTGAGGTATGGGTGAGGGTGAGGAGGGGGGGTACAGGTAAGGGTAAGGTTTAGGGTTAGGTATACTGTTAGGTTTAGGATGAAGGCATAGTGTGTGTTAGAGTTAGGATTTGGGTTTAGGCTGTGGGTGGCGATTAGACTTAGGTTTAGGGTTATAGTTCCATGTGAGTTGAGGTTGAGGATGGAAGTTAGGGGTTAATCTTATGGTCAGGGTTATCGTTAGCATTAGGTGTACGGTGAAGATATGGTTATGGTGAGAGTTAGATTCAGGGTTTAGTGTTAGGACTGTAGTTAGGTTGGGGTTTAGGGTTACAGTTAGGTATGGGTGAAGATGAGGGTGAGGGATGAAGGTGAATGGCCAGGGTTAGGGTTAAGATTAGGTTTAGGATTCAGTGTAGGGTGAGAATAAGGTTACGGTTAGAGTTAGGTTTCGAGTTTAATGTTAGGATTAGGGTTAGGGTTAGGTTTAGACAGTTAGGTGTGGGTAAAGGTGAAGGAGAGGGTGAGGTGTTTGGAGTAGGGGTAGGGGTCTGGTTAGGGTTAGGATTAGTTTTAAGTATAGGAGGAGGATATCGTTAAGGTGAGAGTTACTTTTAGGGTTTAAGGTTTATGGATCAGGTTATGGTGAGGTTTAGTGTTAGGGTGAGGTTTAGAAGAAGAACCACTACTCCCAAGTACAAAAATGGCTCAATTCCCCAGGCCTCTCGCCCAGTCCGGTAGGATAAGAAATTCATTTGACAAGATACGTTTCCTTTCTGTCGATATCAGTGTCCCAGAAGGAAATTATGTGCATAATGGTGAAACTAACAAGAGAGCCATGCACCTAAAGAGCATCTCTAAGGAGCCAAATTATGATTCTGCTGCAGTCCTTTAGCACATGTAACCAGGGCTTGAGCAGGACATGGTTCTTTCTCTGGATTCCTAAGGGTTGGGGTCAGGGGTCAGAGTGAGAGTCAATAATTAGGGTATAGGTTTGGGTATAGGTGTAAGGGTTTGGGATCGTATTCAAGGTTTAGGGTTAAGGTTGAGGCCATTGGGGTTTAAGGTTCAGGGGTTCACATTGGGGAACCAGGTTAAGGGTAAGGATTAGGGTTAGGTTTAGGATTAGGATTAGCTTTAGGTTTAGGTTTAGGCTTAGGGTGAAGTTATGGTTTTGTTTGAGTTAGGGTGAGAAGTTAGGGTTAGATGGAGGGTTAAGTTGAGCTTCAGGATAACAGTGAGGTGAAGGTTAGGGGCTAAGGTTAGAGTTCTTTTAGCTTTAGGATGAGGTGTAGGGTGAGGATATGGTTATGTCTCGTGTTAGGATTAGGGTTTACTTTTAGGATTATGGTTATATTTAGGTTTAAGTTTACAGTTAGGTGTGGGTGAAGGTGACGATGCAGGTGAGGGGTTATGGTGAGTGACCAGACTTAGGATTAGCATTAAGCATAGGGTGAGGATAGTGTAACGGTTAGTATTGGTTTGGGTTTAATATTAGGATTAGGGTTAGGGTTAGGTTTAGACATATGGTTAGGTGTAGGTCAAGGTGAGTGTGAGGGAGTTGAGGTAGGGTTTGGGTTGGGGTTAGGGTTACGTGTAAGGTTGGTCTTAGGATGAAGTTATGTTTCCCGTCAGATTTAGGATTACTGTTTAGGCTAAGGGTTAGCCTTAGAGCTAGGGTTAGGCTTATGGTTCCTTATGAGCGTGAGTGTGGATGAGGGTTAGGCGTTACATGTAGGGTTAGAGTTAGGGTTAAGATTTGCATTAGGTATAGAGTGAGCATATGGTTAGGGTTAGAGGTAGGTTTATGATTCAGTGTTAGGGTTTAGGTTAGATTTTGGTGTAGGGTTATGGTTAGCTTTGGGTGAAAGTTAGGGTGAGGGAGAGGGGTTAGGGTGTGTGACCAGTGTTAAGGTTGGATGTAAGGATAGGGCTAAGTGTAGGATGAGGATAGGGTTACAGTTAGTATCAGGATTTGGGTTTAATGTTAGGGTTAGTGCAAGATTTACATTTAGTGTTATGGTGAGGTGTGGGTGAAAATGAGGATCAGGGTGAAAGGGTGAGGGTACGGGTAGTGTTTCAGTTAGTATTAGGTGTAGGATTAGGTTTATGATAAAGCTCTGGTGAGGGTTAGAGTTAGGGTTACAGTTTACCCTAAAGGTTGGCCTTAGAGTTAGGATTAGTATTACAGTTCCATGTCAATGTGAGTGAGGGTGAGGGTTATGGTTAGGATTAAGGTTAGCATTAAGCATAGGGTGAGAATATAGTTAGGGTTACATTCAAGTTTAGGGCTCATATGAGGGTTAGTGTTGGATTTATGGTTTGGGTTACCATATGGTATGGTGGCGTGTGGGTGAAGGTGAGGCTGAGGGTGAGGGGTTAATGACTAGGGCTAGGTTTTAGGGTAAGGAAAGGATTAAGTCTAGCTTGAGGATAGTGTCACGGTTAGTATTAGGATTTGGGTTTAATGTTAGGGTTACGGCGAGATTTACGTTTAATATTACTGTGAGTTGTGGGTGAAGAAGGTGGTGAGGATGTGGTGGTGGAGGCATAGGTCATGTTAGCATTTTGGTTAGGTGTAGGGTTCAGTTTAGGAAGAAGTTATGGTGTGGGTTAGAGTTAGGATTTGGGTTTAGTCTGACGGTTAGCATTAGAGTTGTGTTTAGGGTTACAGTTCCTTGTGAGGGTTAGAGTGAGGTGCTAGGCTTAGGGTCCAGGTTATGATTAGCATTAAGTGTAGCGTGAGGATATGGTTATGGTGAGAGTTTGGTTCCGGGTTCAGTGTTACAGTTGGGGTTAGGTTTAGGTTTAGTGTTTGGTTAGGTGTGGGTGAAGGTTAGAGTGAGAGAAAGCATTAAGGTGAGTGGCCAGGGATAGGATTAGTTTTAGTATTCAGTATAGGATTAGGATTATGGTTAGGATTAGGATTAGGGTTAGGATTAGTGGTAGGGTTAGGGTTAGGATGATGATTAGAAGAAAAACCACAACCCCAAGTACAAAAATGGCTAAATTCCCCAGGCCTCTCACCCAGTCCTGTAAGAACAGAGATTCATTCGACAGGATATATTTCCTTTCTGTCGATAACAGTGTCCCCGAAAGAAATCATGTACATAAACGTGGGACTAACAAGAGAGCCATGCACCTAAAGACCAAATCTGGTCCCTCATTTACATGTTCTAATTGCTCACTCTATTTCCTTTCATTGTATTTAAGTTGTTTTATAATTATATATTTGCATGATGGTTTGAGGACTGAAATCATGCCTGTTGTGCTCACCATTTTTTCTCCAGCGCACAGAGAGTATCGGTCTTGCTCCATGAAGTTTGTTTTAAAAGGAAAGGAAGGAAGAAAGGAAAGAAGGAAGGAAAAAAAAGATTCAAGTAGTTATTGACAATATCTGGATAGACCAAAGCTCAGCAAAATATATTCATGCCCTGATGGATTTAATTGCCAATATCTTCAACATATGCTAAGTATCTCTTCAAGTCTATAGTTTTCTTGTATTTGCTCTTTTATATTTGCATTGGTTAGGATTTCAGGTGGCTGAAAGTAATGGACCATAGTGCTTAAGCAAACAGAGGTGTTATTTTTCATCCATAATTGAAGTTTTGAGGTAGAGCTGAGGTAACTGTTTAAGGAAGTCAACAAGGTTCCAGGTTCCTTCTAGCTTCCTTCTCTGCCACTCTTTCTGCTTGAATTTTTTCCTCAGAGTTGAAAGCTGGGATGCTGCCCTTTCAACTTTTAGTATCCATAGTCCAGGCAGAAAGAAGGGAAAGAGTAAAGATCAAAATGCATGTGACAGTTGGACTCAACTCTTTTTATCAGGAAATAAATGGCTTTCCTGGAAGTGCCACACATATTTGTCCAGAAATTCTCTTTATCTCTGCTCAGACCTAGGTCGTGATCACTTTAGCTTCAGAGGAGTCTGGGAAGATGCATGTTCTTAAATGGGCACACTCCTGCCTTAAACACAACTGGAGGTCTGTCAGTGAAGAATCAGGGGAGATTGAAGATCAGGAGGCCAATCAGGAGTGCCTGACAAACCACTGCCACAAACAAGCAGACAAACTGGATTCCAAGTTCCTTACTCAATCTCAGAAGCCTAAATGAAAGTGATCATTTTCAAGCTGGAATTTTGAGCAGATATTTCAGCTCTTCATATATGGTGCTAAGCCATATGTATAAAAAGTAAAAAATTCCATCAATTACTTGGTCCTTTTATCTATATAATACTAAATATATATGCTGAAACCAAAACATCTGGAATAATCTTTCCTCCTTGGAATTCTTAATCCCTATATACTTTAATTTTATACTTAATTTAAAAAATCAGCTTTCAAGGAGTCCATTCACTACAATAGCCAGGATATGGAGCCAACTTAAGTGCTCATCAATACATGAATGGATAAAGAGGAGGTGGGACATATACAATGGAATCTTGCCATTGGCAACAACATGGACGGACCTAGAGGGTATTCTGCCAAGTGAACTAAGTCCAAGAAAGAAAAATACCATATGATTTCACTTATATGTGAAAACTAAACACAGCAAAAACCAGAAATAGACTCATAAGTACAGAGAACAAATTGGTGGTTGTCAGAGGGAGGGGAGCCAGGGGATAGGTGAAATAGGTGAAGAGGAGCAAGAGGTATAAACGTCCAGTTCTTAAATAAATAAGTCACAGGGACAAAAGTACAGCATAAGGAATATAGGCAATATTATAATAACTTTGTATGGTGACAGATGGTAACTACACTTATGGTGAGCATTTGGTGATATATATATGCATAAATGCTGAATCACTATTGTTGTGCACCTGAAAGTAATATTGTATTATGTCAACTATATGCCAAGAAAAAAATTTTAGGTTAATTACTGTCAAAATTTAAGCCTGCAATTAAAGCCTGCTGACACGAGGTGTTGCTCTTTCAATAATTCGGTTCCTTTCACAACTTTCATGCAGATATTTGTTCAGCTACAGAGGGAGCAAATAAAACTCCCCAGGCATCCATTAATGAAAAATGTAAAATGAGCATAAAACCAATTCAGCTATAGTTAAGAACAAGAAAATCAGAAGGCTATGTAATAAGAATTAATAATGAATGCAAAGGATTCATAGAGTGACTGAGCCTCTTTTAGACAGAGATTAAAATTAGGGAAGCAGGGGAGAGGTTTCCTCAACAAATAAATGACAAGTTTGATAACTCAGAGGCAAAGACAGACAATTGGAACACAGGCAACATATTATGTGGGGGAATCTGCTTTCCATTTAGTATCATTGCTTTCAATTAGTTCAATTCAAAAAACATTTATTGATCATCATCTATGTGCTAGAAATTCTGGGAAGGCTTGGTACTCTTCCCTGCCCTATAGGAAGAGAGGAAGAATATTACTGCTAGATGGAACCTTCCTCATTTTGGAGGTAAGGATATTGAGTCTCAGAAAAAGAAGACTCTCCATTGTCACCAGTTGGCTCACAGGATAGTTGTAAGGATTAAATGACAGAAGGTCTATAAAGTGCCAGAACCAGTCAAGGGTAAGAGCAAAACTAATATACATTATTATTACTGGTGAGTTTGTCTTATGAAAGCTAAAGCTTCCTTAGTTTAAAAGGTGAAATAAAATACCATGCTAGCCAGGAATTACAAACCAATTACCTAATTATTTCACTTGAACCCAAAGCAAAAATAATTAGTCAACTCTTGATCATACTTGTGATCTTAGGACCATGAAAACCATCTCTCAGTGCTACCACCTCTGCCCCAAATTCCCACAGAATTACATTCTTCATCTTATTAAACTGAAGTCTCTTTGATTCCCCGACTCCTTCTGATTACACACAACTTTCTTGTCCTAGTACCTTTAAATTATTCTCCTTTCTATGGACAGCTATGAGGAGATTGTCAAGGAGAAAAATCCTCATGAGATTTTGTATATATTTATGTCAGTGGTTCTGCTGAGCAATGAGGTTGGCAGAGATAAAAAGCCAGGGTTGGTTTGGGGCTTGTGACATAAGTGTGAAGTGTGGTTATACTAAGAAAGAGTGGTCAGTGAGCTGCATTTCCCAAGAAGGATTCATGGGCATCAGTTATGCATTATGAAGGCAGCGGGCATTTAAGAAAGGAAAGCTGAGAAAGATCCCAAACTGAAGGAGACTGGGAATATTTTATGGAACTCTGAAGTTTGTGTGGTAGGTACCCAGGTCAGGACAGAGACCTCAAAGCTCACTGAACAGACCTTCACTCCCAAAACAGAGGAGCATAAGATGGCCATTATATATGTAGGTTTTAGAGTCAACTAGACCAAGGTTTAAGCCTTGTTTTCACCACTTCTTTGTTCTATGGCTTTAGGTAATTCAAATGTCAGTGTCTCTACATATAAAACTGGGATAATAATACCTACTTTATGGAGCTACAAAGAGAATCTAATAAAGCAATGTATATGAAATTCTCAGTACAAGGCTCTGCACATATCTGTACTCCCTAAATTAAAGTTATTCATACTATTATGCACAATAATCAAAAAAGATCAGGAGTTAATATCCAAAATATATAAAGAACTCATAAAAAACACTAACAAAAAAAATCTGATTAAAAAGTGGGTAAAGTGCAATAAATAAAATGATACTTTTACAAGTTTTATAATACATTTATGTTATATGACAATGATACTATTATAAGTTATAATCAAATATAACTGGGACTCAATAAATATTAATTTCTTTCTCCTTAAAAAAAAAAGAGTCGGCAAATGAACTAAATAGACATTTTTTCCAAAGAGATTACAAATGAACAACAGGTACATGAAATAATGCTCAACATCACTAATCATCAGGAAAATAGGAATAGAAACCATGCTGAGGTATTACCTCACACATGTTAGAATGGCTATCATCAAGAAGACGAGATAATAAGTGTTAGTGAGCATGCGGGAAAAGGGAAACCTTGTGGAAATGTAACTTGGTGCAGCAACTTGGAAAACAGTATGGAGGTTCCTCAAAAAATTACAGATAGAACTACCATATGATCCAGCAATTCCACTTCTGAGTATATATCCAAAGGACCTGAAAACAGGATATCAAAGACACCTATGTACTCCCATGCCTATTGCAGTGTTACTCACAATTGCCAAAATATGAAAACAAACCAAGTGTCTGCCAATGGATAAATGGATAAAGAAGCTGTTGAGATACACACACACACACACACACACACACACACACACACACACACACAGGAATATTATTCAACCATGAAAAAGAAGGAAATCCTGCTGTTTGCAGCAACATGGATTGATCTTGAGGATATATTACTGAGATAAGTCAGAGGAAGACAAATACTGTATGATATCACTTATATGTGGAATCTAAACAAGTCAAACTTATTAAAACAGAAGGTGGAATGGTGGCTACCAGGGACTGAGGGATGGAGGACTAGGAGAGATGAGGGTACAAACTTGCAACTAGTAGAGAAGTCCTGGAGATATAATGCACAGTATACTGATTATAGACAGTATATACTGTAACATAAAAATCACTTGCTAAGAGAGTAGATTATTATTAAGTATTATTCCCACCACAAAAAATAAATGATAATTACGTGATATGATAAAGTATTAGCTAATGCTGTAATGGCAACCATATCGCAAAACATGTATGTATCAAAACAAGATGTTTTATACCTCAAACCTACACAATGTCACATGTCAATTAAATCTCAGTTAAAAAAAATAGTAAGTATGTTCCAAATGCAGAACCTCTTGCTTTATTCAGAGCACTATGTAGTTGTTATTATTTTCTTCATCATTATGATGTGGTAATCCACTTAACTCTAGAAATAAAGTCTAAGGAATGAATCATTTGAAAAGTGTTCACAATTCTTCCCCTTATTTTCCATTTCATGCTGGCAGGAAGTTTCTTAAATCACAATATGTACCCTCTAAATCATATGCTTTAACCACCATGCCTTTTTCCTATGTTGAACCAATACTTGCATTCTTAACTGCCATCAAAGCCTCAAGGACTTTGGGTGATAATGATGTGTCAGTGTAGGTTCACCCATTGTAACAAACTGACTGCTCAGGTAGCAGATGTTGATAACGGGGGAAGCTATGCATGTGTGGGAACTGAGGGCATATATAGAGGAAATCTCTGTGCCTTTGTACACAGGCTTTGCTGTGAACCTAAACCCCCTCTAAAAAGTAGCATCTATTAAAAAACAAAAACAAAAACCATAAGGTATTTTGAATTCCATCAACTGAGTTAATGGGAGACCTAAAGGGCACAAACGGTGAATTTCATAAAACCTCAGTGTGACAAGGCAAGTTTCAACTATCTGCCTTTCCATTTTCTTTCCAGCTTTACCAAGAGGGCCCCCTAAGCTCATGTGGTGCCTTGCTAGGGATGCCCGAGTTGGGGGAAGAATAAATCATCCCTTCCTCAAGGCTGTACAGCCCTGGTCAGGGCCTCAGTTTGACAAGTGGGGCTTAGGCTGGATTCAGCTCCAGCTGGCCTTCACCAGGTGTCTTTATGTGGTACCCTACCTGCATAACTGTACACAGCAGCCTCTGTTAGCTAGCAGAATTCTGAATTATGTACCTTTACCCTTCCTCTGCCCAGTCAGAGATGGAAGCAGAATTGCTTCAGGTAGGCATGAAGCAGAGAGAAAGAAAAAAAGCAGATGAGGGTCCCCAGGAGGAAACCTCTAAAAAGTGGAGTTGACTCTTGTGAATCCTCAGCATCAACTGCTTCTTACCTCTCATTCTATAAACCCACAGCCTCCCCTGAAAAGCCAAGAGTGTATTTACATGGGAGGGATTCAACCGCAAGCTGAATTAATGTTGGAGGCTCCATAAGAGCAGGGACAGGATTTATTTTTTTTCTCACTATTGCTTCCCTAGCTCTCAACACAGTGTCTGCTAAATAAAGAAGGGCTCAATAAATATTTATTGGCTGAACTGGTGTTTCTTATAGGGGAATAATAAAGCCACTTGCTGTGCTCCATTCACAGGCATGAGAGCATTTCCCTTACAGCTTAAGCACAAAAAAAATGCTTCAAATGTTCTTTAAGTCTGTAGGTGTCAAGAAGAACAGCAGATAGAAATGTACTTAAATGAAATGTGCAACAAGCAGTTTTGTAGTTGAGAACCTGGACTTTGGAGCCAGAGAGACCTGGGTTTGAATCTCACCGTTTCCATCTACTAAGCTGGGGACACTCCACAAAGTGACTTACACTGTTTCAGATTCCTCATCTCTAAAATGGGGGTGATAATGCCCACCTAGAGGACTTGTTGGAAAGATTAAATGATGATATATGTAACAAACATTTAACACAGTTACCAGCACATAGTAAACACTCAAT